AGGACATTTTACAAAACAATATATCAAATGTTTTGGTTGCCCACCGCAACGAGACTGACTAAAATTTTGACATAAAAAATGCTACTCTGATAAAAAAAAGAAAACAATTCACTACGATGAAAATTCTTGAGAGTGACTTGATCGTAAGGTCATCTGCAGTAAATTTGCGCCCGGACTCTTAAAACATTTCACCATTCCAGGCAGAACTTCTATTATAACAGTGTGACGTATCTTCTAACAAAAGTGATGTAAAGAATATGAAAAAGAATCTAAATGCAATCGGCTAGATAAAAAAAAAAAATTAAAACAAAAAATTTAGAAATTAATTTTTTTTTAATTTAAACAATTTTAAATTCCCAACATCCCTCGTTCGTGCGCATGTGTAGTCGCATCAACATAACAAATTTAGTCCGATGAACTCCTAAAGGGCGAAACGCATCACAAGAAAACTTTTACACACACACACACATATATATATATATATATATAAATATATGGAGAAGAATTCAGATATAAATATAAATATATCTGTAAAAAAACAATATGGATAATGACAAAAGGAAAACTTATCTTAGCCGTCACGTTTCGTCTTCTGATTGACTTTAACAAGGCAAATGTAAGGATTTTATTTGACAAGCATTTATAAAGAGAAGTAAAAAAGAGACGGTTCTTAAATTTATTTATATTTTTTATAACTAACGATATTTTTACTTTTCCTTATAAATACTTGTTGCAAAATCAAATCCTTAAATTTTCCGTGATAGAGTCCATCAGAGGACGAAACGCGCCGGCTAAGCTGAGATTTAACCTGGTAGATGAAATAAAGTGTTCGGTTCGAAATTCCACTCACCTGAAGAAAGCCGGAGCGTACAACGGCCGAAACATTATTTATATAGCAATGAAAATTAGGATAACATTCCATGTAAATAATGCAAGTAATAGATACTGGTGTTAAATCAGGAAAAATAATCGCCGAACAAATAAAAAATTAAACAGGCTTACATGCCCTTAATGAGATTCGAACTCACGACCCCTGGTTTACGAGACCAGTGCTCTAAACCACTGAGCTATAAGGGCAGGTGATAACTGCTTTAGAACATGTGCAGAAATCGATTATTTATTGAGATAAACCTAGATGACATTTCTTTATTCGTGAAATGAAAATTAGAATTTGGCAACATAAACACTTTTAGATAAAGTTAGGTCTGGCACAAGGCAAATATCCTCGGTTATCTATCAGAGTATGCCCTTAACAATTAATGTTTGGCGGATGCTTGTAACCACAAATGCAGAGCACTTGGTGAGGACAGAATTCGCTACCATCGACGGAAAACTTGCTTAGTAAACTATTTACTGACGGTATCCGTAAAATTTGACGGTTTTGCTATTTTAATTTTTTGAGGAATCATAATTCCTAAGTTAATGATTGAATCCTTACAAGTTACACGACGGTAAAATATCCGTGGAAAGTTCCCTTTTGCATCATTAAATATTTGAGCTTAACAGCTTTAATAAAACAATCATAAGTGTGAATGCAGGTCATTATTAAAAGAAGTAAGAGAGTACAAATGAAATGATTCAAAATAGACATGTCTTTTCACTTTATTGATGCAGATGTTAAACGCATGCTAGCTTTATCGCTTCAACTACTTTCTCTTTCTCCAAAACTTGAGAGTGTCACTGATATATTTTTCTTTCGTCTTTCCTCGCATTCAAAACAGAATGGTCGATTATTTATCTAAGGCAATGACGGGACGGCTAACTTACTTATCTACAAAATGAGAAACAAACAGAATTACAACATTGCTTTGTAGTTCCATTCTGTATCCATTTCATCTATTTAGAACTATTTCTAATGTTTGCATAAACAGGCAAATAAGGTCTCTTTCAATTTTATTTCCATATGATGAAGATGTAAATAATCATTGAAATATTAGAATATTCATAACAAGCGTTTACAAGTATATTTTCGGGGTCGCTTTTATCCTTCAAATTTAAAATTGTGTCTTGTTTGTTAATCAAATATTTAAGACCTAAAAACGTGTTTTTTCGTAATTACTTATTACTTGTTAATTATCCTTAGAGTTTTACCCCCGGAAGTAAAGGTCTAAGGCAGATCTACCAAAATTGGATTCCAAGTAGTGAACTGAGATCAAATTGAGGGCCCAGCGATATCAAAGATCGAATTGATTTTCTTCCCATTAGTAATCTATGTTTGCCCAGCTTATTAAAAGTGGCGAAATTAAAAAAAATATATACGCTCAACTGTCCAATTGTTAGATTAAGCTCTGAACCGTTGTATCTTGGAAATGATTAAGGATATCTTACTGGAATTCTCCGAGGTTTTTATAACACAACTGGACTCTACGTTGAGCAATAAGAATGCATAATTATGTTTCAAGCTTAACAGAAAAATTGAATATTAGTGGTAAATATATACATACATATGCAAAATATATATATATATACATAGGTGCATACACATACATGTATATTTTTTTAATAAAATATTCCAAGAGGATAGAATCCAGGTAGAACTCAATGTCCAGGACAGAGTAAGGATATGTTTAAGCCTTTTTATATATATATATATAATGTAAATCTATTTAAACTCGCTGGGTGAAAAAAACCTGGTTAGCTCAATTTTCAAATAAATTGGCATCTGAGGAAAAATGGAAAAAAAAGAAAGCACCAGAAACCTCCGATCAGGGCGAAAGAAATCGTTCATTAAAAAAACTTTAAAAAAAGCAGAGTGTTTAATCTGAGTAAAAAAAAACCCAGCGAGTAATAAGTTAAAAAGCAGAGTGTTTAATACGCTAAGTAGAGCAAAAGTAAAATAAATACATCCTAATGAGCAAGGTACTACCTACCTAGGTTTCACCACATGGAATCATCAGGGTGAACTGGCTGAGGAGGAATTAATGAGGAACAAATTTATTGATAAAATTACTATTAAAATCTAAAATTAACATAAGCTTAAAAAGATATAAAGCACGTAACTAAACAACAACAAAAAAAAAGCCAAACTTTTATTCTAATAACCAGGCTTTCTTCTGCCTGCATCTATTCAGGATTCCTGACCTCTCGTTTAATAAAATTTAAAACCAAAATAGGCAAAATATTTTTTTTTAATTATTAGAAAAGGAAAAGAGTTTTTCCCCGTCAAACATATTGAATAAAATTTTCAATAGGAATTACATTGAACTAAGTTACAGCTGTATGCCGAATATGGCCAGTTTAATTAATAAACTTAATAGGATAAAATCATAACCAAATCTGACATTAACTCCGCTAAATGTAATTGCAGAAATAAAGACACCTGCCCACTCAAGATTCATAGCAAAACTGAATAGGCATTCTAGCCTTAGTTGATAACCAGTCTAGCAGAAGGGCAACTCTGAATTCAAAACTGCTTGACTATGGAACTGACAACACTACCCCATAAAAATCTACTTGATAAAACCACAGCAGCAAAGACTAGTATCGGGTTGCTGTAGCCCTATACACTAACAATGGAGTCTGTACTACTACTATCCTTGACTTATTCTTACTACTACTACTGCTTCTACTTCTACTACTATTCATGATTTACTAGTGCTACTACTACTATCCATGAATTACTAATACTACTAGTACTATCCATACTTGGATATTACTATTACAACTATTCATGAATTACTATTACTACTACTATTATCTATGACTTAAAATTTCTACTACTAATATTATAGTCAAAAACACGTAAGTATATAGGATATAAACTCCTATATTTTGCGGCCATTAAGTGAAGCACAAACAAGAGGTGCCGACATATAAACCTTACTCAATTCAGTAGAGAAAAACATTTTACATTTCTGTACAAACACTGCTCCAAATTAAATTCGTGTTTCCCGAAAGCTGATTAGATATGACAAGCCACGTGATGTTGCTCTCTACTACATCCGTACGGTTGAACTTCAAATGACCTGGAAATGGATCAGGGCTAGGTTACGGAGTACATTCCCGCGCAAAACTCAGCGATTCGAAGCCGACCCGTAGCGATAAAAATGACTCATCAGTGAGCAGGTCTGCAACGAGACAGCGAAAAACAGTCTCCAAACCAGGCCAGCCTCGATCTGCAACTTGAACACACGTTACCACGAAAACGCGTTAGCGATGATTTTTCTACATACAAAGTCGCGACGACAGTAAGTCCTATATACCCCCTTTTTGTTCTCTGTTTTTTTTTTTATAATTACCGCTATCGCACGCAATCAGTCAGCAGTCACCCTTATGTATCATTAGCGTGTTTAAATTTAAAATACAGACTGCTTTCTGATATTTAACTTAATGACAGACTTGAAGATGAATTTTTTTTTTAATTATTTTGCTTTATTTCTGTGAGAAAATTGAGTTTTGTTTGGCCTGAAATTCAAAGTGATGCTGCCCTGACCATTGACTGAAACTTACGTTATGATTCCAAAATATGGCTTATACTAGACCGTTCAGATGACACTTTTCAGAATATGGGTTCAAGTCTATAAGACGGTGATAAGGAGAGACTACTCAGCGGAGAAATATATATATATATATATATATGTGTGTGTGTGTGTGTGTGTGTGTGTGTGTGTGTGTGTGTGTGTGTGTGTGTAAGAGAGAGAGAGTGTCTGTGTTAATACATTCAAAATTCTGTATTAATAAAAATCTATATTTATAAATTAAAAAGGTAAATGTCTGGTCAGTTTTTATATAAAATCTTTGTATACAAATGTTCTCGTAAACAAATGGCTAAATTTAATCAAAACACACGTAACAAAATCAAAATGAAATTACTTTTCCCCATACCCTTATATATATATATATATATATATATATATATATATATATATATATATATATATATATTATATGGGAAACAGAAAATATTTAATCAAACAGACGGATTGGTTCATACAGACGAACTATTTAACCAAATTTTCTTTTTCCTTTTCTTTCTTTTTTTTATTATTTCTTTTTATTATTTAAAACGAGATAGATAGATAGATAGATAGATAGATAGATAGATAGATAGATAGATAAAAAAAATAGCAAACACGGTCGCTAAAAAAAATTAATATTTTCATTAAGAATTTTTTCGCACGCTGAGATTGAAACAGCCCGTTGGGGGGAAAATCTTGAAAAAATTCAAGTGATTCTTTGGGAAACCAATCAAGAAAAGCAGCAAAAAAAAAATGAGGAACACAAATAAACGTCTTCCGATTCTTCATTGCTTGCAAAATGCACTAGGGAATAAAATGTCTGCGAAGAGGATTAAATTGCTTTCCTGGAAATAAACGTTGCACATCAAATTTAGGATTCATTCTGGAGCCAAGAGGTTCGGTTAAGTTCAAAAGTCCCGACCCATCATTTAAGTTTTTCTTCAAGGGAAACGTTTTAAAAAGAATATAATGTTTAAAGCTCTTTTCGAGAGGTAAACAGTACTAATCTGACACAAGGCTATATTTCTTGAGCCTTCAAAATTTCACATACTACCAATTCTGATTAGTTCGACAGTAATGTATTATACAGGATGTGCCCAAAACCTTTACATCATTTAATATGTGATTATCAGAGTAATTACATGTCCCAGGCAAACGAAATTAAATAGACTTCATGTTGAACAATAAAAGATTTATTTATCAAAATTCGAACAAGATATTCGAAGAGATGCCGATTTTATAAACGGTTTTACAAAGCTTCACAAATGTTCAACATGTGCCCCACCTGTGACATGACACACATCAAGTCGGTAGTCCAGCTCCTGCCAAACATTCTCCAGGGCCTCAATGATTATCAGCTTAAGTTTCTCTAGTTTTGTAAGAAGAGAGTGATAGATCACATAACCCCGCAGAAAAAAAATCACGAGGTGTCAAGTCGGGTGAAGGTGGTGGCAACAGCACATTGTCATTATCACTGGCACACCTGATCCATCTTTCTGGTAGATTCTCATTAAGTCCGCACTGAGGTGCTGAAGACTGTTACGCAAGACATGCTACAGCGTGTTTGGCAGGAGCTGGACTACCGACTTGACGCGTGTTGTGTCACAGGTTGTTCGAATATTGAACATTTGGGAAGCTTTTTGAAATCGGTTATAAAATCTACATCCATTTGAAAATCTTGTTCAAATTTTGATAAATATATCTTTTATTGTTCAACGTGAAGTCTATTTAATTTCGTTTGCCTGAGACATGTAGTTACTCAGATATTTACATTTTAAATTATGTCAATTTTTTGTGTATGGGGGAACTCCCTGTATATATTAAACTGCACACACATACACACACACACACACACATATGTGTGTGTCTGTGTGTCGTAGCTTAACTTTTCCTTATGTGATACATGAATTTTATTGGGACCTTATGTATTTAACTAAATCAGGAATGTTATCCCATTTCGTTATAAGACTTATGATATATATTAGCCAGATTCATATCGCCCCTAATAATTTTAATATGTCTATCTCCTGAAAAGTTCTAAGTCTCTTAGTCTAAAATACATTATTTTAGATGCCTTCATTTTCTATTTCTATATCGTATATAGGTCTATATCCCCCTCTTCCTAGTGAAACTTAAGCAGAGAATCACTAAAGCGCTGGAGAATGTTACGCAAGACATGCTACAGCGTGTTTAGCAGGAGCTGGACTATCGAATCGACGTGTGTCGTGTCACAGGTGGTGCACATATTGAACATTTGTGAAACTTTGTGAAATCGGTTATAAAATCTACATCCCTTTGAATATCTTGATCGAATTTTGATAAATCTTGTATTGTTCAACAATATGCCTATATAATTTCGTTGGCCTCAGACATGTAGTTACTCAGATAATCATATTTTAAATGATGTTAATTTTTTGGAGTCACCCTGTATTTTGTTCTCTAAAAATCAGACACCATCTTTCCCGTCAGATAATGTGTATTATATTATAAGGTTTATAGTGGGGTGTCCGCATAGGAATTGAATTGTCTGGTATCCACATCAAATCGATCGGTAAATATTGCCAAAGTTAAATACACTGAGAGTAATATATAGCGGAAAGTACAGTACACATGTTTGAATAGGGAAAAAGACATACAACGACCTGCGACTAGGATAGATAGATAGATAGATAAATAGATAGATAGATAGATAGATAGATAGATAGATAGATAGATAGATAGATAGATAGATAGATATGAACAGGATGGGATAGATAGATAGATAGATAGATAGATAGATAGATAGATAGATAGATAGATATGTCTGAGAGTTACATGTGATATAGATAGATTGAAATTATTATTAGATCTTTTACTTATACTCCTCGAAATAAGCGCTAATTATAAATTTTAGATTAGTCATTCTTACCATATTAGAGTTTCTAATAATAATTTATAACGTAACAAAATTTTAATTTACAACCAATTAATTTTTTTCTTCATTCAATTTTTAGTTCACATTATTTAATTTCACTATCGGTATATATATTAAGCTATAGATATATGTATACATATACATATTTTACATATACATATACAATTCTCTACACACAACGTGTGAAAGCACGTTTACATATATATGTGTGTGTGTGTGTGTGTGTGTGTGTGTGTGTGTGTGTGTGTTTGCGTGTGTGTGTGTGCGCGTGTGTGTGTGTGCGCGTGTGTGTGTGTGCGCGTGCGTATAGATGGCCACTCGTATTCGAGGATACCCGCCTCTTAGGGTGGCTAGTCAATCCCTATTGCAGACGCTCACTCAGGCACATTTGTGTTTATTTAACACCCACAGAGCCAACCTGTGGTTTATACTACAACTATGCTGTGCAGACCTTAATTACAGCTTCTGGGAAAAAGCGTGATCCTCAATTTGAACAAGGCGAACACGCTCAAGCCCTCAGCCGCGATGACTTGTGACTTCGTGCTAGCACAGCTATCGACGGCCCCGTGGTATGGTTTTCAGGCACTTTTCAATGGTGCCGATAACATCAGGAAGTCTCCTTCCTGACAAATCGACCCTGGTGAGATTTGAAACCGGATCTCATGGTCAGAATGCGATCGTTCTAACCACTTACCATTAAGTAATTTCAAATAAACAAATAAGTAATTGATAATATATATATATATATATATATATATATATATATATATATATATATATATATATATATATATATATATATATATGAAAATTTCTCAGAGTTAACCTGTAGAAAAGACAATATTTATAAATATAAATAACAATCCAATAGTTGTCGACGCGTTTCGTCCAGTGTGAACTTTCTCAAGGCAAAAAACGAAATGAATTTATTTAAACAAAGTAACTAATAATAACAAAAACAAAATGTCCTTAGCAACTGGAGGAATTCAGAGGACGCTATTTTCATACTGTTAAATGATAATTACGTCAATTACTGTCACGTGTGGAGATATTGTAATTATTGCTGTGTTGACGGATTCAACCATTTTCTTTTGATTTTACGATATTGTTGTGTACGTTTGTTGGGTAGAGTAGTAATTCTGTTAAGAAAGGTGAAATAGGGAAAAAGCCTGGACGTAGATTAATATTCAACAACATTTTTTATTTTAAAAATGCTACATGCATAAAAAAGAGAATAACTCACTCAGAAGGAAAATCCTAGAGAGTGCCGCCATTGAATATTACCCAAATATTAATCTTTTAATATTAATTTTGCCTTGAGAAAGTCCACATTGGACGAAACGAAACGCGTCGGCAACTATTACAGTTTTCCTATTGTCATATATATATATATATACATACATACATTATCAGTTATTTATTTGTTTATTTTAAATTACTTAATTAAATTATCCATTCAATTTATATGATTTAATTAATTTATATTATTGACTTCCAGCAACTATCAAAATATCTTTAGATTAAATTGTGACTATTTAATTATTGCGTATTAAGACAAACTCAGTAAATGTTAGCAACAAATCTTTATCGGAATTTAAATGAATTGGTTATTTACTTTGCTTTATTTTAATTAACACTAAAGTTTAGAGTCAGTCAGTGAGATAAATCCATTGAGTATTTATTTTATTGAGATATTAAGTAGCGCCTTACATAAATCTATCTTAACACATTTTTAGAGACGTATTTTTATTAGTAATATATATATATATATAAGGACAATAATATAAATAGAATATATATACTATTTATATTATTGTCCTCATGTTCATGTACGCCCCGGTTGGAATATCGAACTGAACCCTTTATTTCGCTCACGAGACGAGTGGACTGGGTAGACTGTTCTAGTTCTACGTGCCATGTCTCATGGATATCTCCTGAAAGAACTCCACTGCCTTAACCAGGTATTGAACTCACACTCATTGGGTCTTGTCACTGGATCTAACTAACGCCTTTATCCACTGTGCCATGTGCCCTTGAGGAAATCTGTATATGAATTTCAGAGTATGATAAACCTAATGTCGTCAACAACCATTTTTACCAGTGCTCATATTGCAATTTTTGCTGTTATCATTGCATACTTTTTACCAGAGCCCATATTGCAATTTATATTACCTGGTTATTAAGGCAGTAGAGAACTTTCAGAGGGGAATTAACATGAGATAACTGACATCGATTAGACATGGCACGTGGAACTAGAACAGTCTACCCCAGTGAGCGAAATAAAGGGTACAGTTCGACATTCCAACCACCTGAAGAAGGCCGGAGCGTACAACGGCTGAAACGTTATGATAAACATGGCGACAAAGATAAGGACAATAGTCCGAATAATGTAATTAGTAATACATAATGTAATTAGTGTATATATTTTTCATCTCAGAAATATATATATATATATATTTTATATATATATATATATATATATATATATATATATATATATATATATATATATATATATATATATATATATATATATATATATATATATATATATATATATAAATAATAAAAATAAAGGAGGCACGCTGGAGTAATAGATAGCGGCTTGGATTGAGGAATCAGGCAGCCGAGTTCGAATTCCAGTCGAATCTATTATATTCACTTTGGTGCTAATACCTTTTGGAAATCATCTTCTTCTCCCTCCCAGCTATGGGTTCTATAGCCTTTGATGGCAACTGGTCTACCACAGAAAGAAATGGCAACCTACTGTCTCGTCAGTATCGAAATATACATGATCGCCTAAGCGTGTATCACGCATGGCTTATAATTGACTGCTCAATACATTAAGTAGAGTAAATTTAACTATGAACCCAAAGAGCCAGGTAAACATACCTAGGTTTTACCTACGTGGATCGTCAGGATGCACTGTCTCTTTAGGTTCATATTATATATATATATATATATATATATATATATATATATATATATATATATATATATAAAATAAAGAGTCTGCCGTAAATGCAAACTGAAAGAAAAATTACTCAACACCATATAAAATGGTAGAGATTTTCTAAATTAAGAATCACCTTTCAGATGTAAAGAGTTTCATGATTTTACGCGATCGTCAGGCGGTCGGCAGCTGTTGTACAAAAATAAGAAGGCAAGACTAAGATGAAAAATATATATATGGACGGTGCATGCACAACATGCATACAGACTCACCTGGAGAGAATGATAAGCACCCATCCGACCAAGATCAAAATAAAGCTGTAAACGAACAATTATATCCCCATTCAACAAGAAATATCTTGCCGATGTGGCAAAAAAGTGCTCAATGCCACACGAAACAATGTAGTCGCGGTCCAGGGGTCTAATGCTTTCAAGCAAAAAAGTACTAAACAGAACCTGACCCACAAAGACACCCATTACTCATAGCTGCGGTTAGCATTCATGGCAGATTCTTTTTAAGAGCTGCTTATTTCTATTTATTTTAGAAAGTTCTCCCATTGGTGTCTGTATTTAAGTTTTATATGCCTCTGATTTCCTACGCACCATCATAACAGCCCAATGTTACGTCAAAGTTCTCATTCTTGTATAGATTGTTCAAAATAATAGTTTAATTTAATTTTTTTTCATTTCAATATCACATAATCTTTCTCAAAATGGTAAAAATACAGTGTAACAGGTTGTCGTGTTAACTATGATTAACAAAATAAGATTTGTGTATTTTGTCTTCCCCACGATCAGAATGAGCGAGAACGGTGGTTAAAAGCAATACCTCGGGACAACAACACTGACAACCCAAACACTGTTGTCTGTAAATGGCAGTTTCCATCTGATTACGAAACAGTGATTACAAGAAATCCACCATCAATATTTGCCATTTGTTATAAGTGTATTTCCTAGTCCTCAACCAAAACCAACAAACAAAAACTTCTTCTTCTGTGCGAAATGTGCAAAATGATGAGTAGGCACAGTTTCTAGGAAAAGAGAAAATCCTCACTTTAAAAAAAAAAAATTATATCAGAATATTGATCAGCAAGGTTTTGTCTCAGCAGTTACATACTATAAATCAAACAATCAGCTGTTCATCCAATCTGTTGATTTTTTTTTTCACTGGAAGAATTCCAATGCTTTTAATTTAAATTTTTGAAAACTTGAGATTTAAATGCTACAATGGTGATATATATAAAACAATTTTTTTGTCTTTCAAATAGTTGAATATCAATGTTTCAGCACTGGTCACAAATCAATGAAGCAATTCGTTATCTTAAAAACTGATAAGAACAAACTTTAAAGGAGCATATTAATGTAGCCCTCAAACCTCCTCTGATCGTCCAAGACGTCCAATACTGCGGCTGATCGATGAAGTGATCGCCTCAATCCTGGACCTGCCTTATTCCACGTTAATTCATAATTTAATCATAAGTAGGCCAAAAATCGAATCATCAGCGGTTTCCTCGTACTGGGCTGGTCCTAGCAGGGTGAAGACACACGGGAAAACAGGAGCAAAAAAATAACATTCGAATAATATAAAAAATATATAGATTATTTTTATATGTATTTCTTCGTACAATTGGTTAAAAATGTAGAAGCTTGCATGAATTCAATTCACGACTCAATCCGTTTCTAGTCGAACGTGACACTTTGGTGATTTTGGCAAACTGTTTAGTCGCTTGGTTAAGTGTGGCACAAGGCTGATGTCGAAGATCTTTCGGCAGATAGTCACGTGTTTTATCTCGCGTCTGATCACTGGAACGAACTCCCGGAACGATCTCTCTTCTCTCGCTTGAGGCATTCGTATTTATAGATGCTTGCCCAAAACTGATGTGAAGTGGTTAGGTGTCTAGCATTTTCTCTACCTGTCACAAAGAACCCCTTCTCCATTGCCTGGGTTCTAGGGATTAATTACTTCCTAATTTGGAATTCTCCCCCCAACTTTTCTCGGTGACGGTTGTAGGCCTTAGTCCGCCCCCAAAATTCTTTCTTCTCTTCTTAGCATCTCCCACTAATACCCCTCCGTGGGCGTGAGTGGCTCCTACTCCTTCCTTGGTATCTCCTCTCCACCTGCTACTCTTTAGTGGGCGCGGGCAGCTTCTCCACTTTCCTGGGTCTCTCTTCTGCGCCCGTTACCTCGGCCACCTAGCGAAGACTCATTCTAAGTTCGTTAATTAAAAGAATTATTATTCCGGGTTTATCATCTCATAAGCAAACAGTGTTGGTTTTTCCTGGTCTTAGAGCTGAACAAAAAACAGTTGGCTTTCTCCAACGCCAGTGACATTCTCCAAAGAAATATCTTTACCGCCACAATGAGATTTTCTAAATCATAGCTGGTATCATAGCTAGTGCTCATAATGGTGGTCATCGATCAAATGTCAAAATTAACTACGATATGGCCGGTCGTAAAATTGAGTATTGTTTTAGCTAGCCGTCTGGTTCTTTGAAATTTTGGCTTTCTGAGAAATAAAATCTTCGGTATTTCTCATGATAGTTTATCAGTATATCGTTCTTGCTATCCAAAAACCTTATGATTCATAATAGTTTATCAGTCTCAAATAGCGTCACATTAATGCCATGTCACCGCAAATGATTGAGACAAAACATTATGAATTTGAATACTTTGTTACATCTTGGTCATTATATTACAGACTTCAGAATGATTTTAACTTAGCCAGTATGAGAACATTATCAGTTTTGACATCAGAAGTTTCAATATTAGGTGACTTTAATTTTCTTGGTGATATTTTAGTGAAATCCCTGAAAATCAGAGAATGTATTCTTTTAGTTGATGAAAAGTTTATGCCAAGGTTGCTCTACAATATCATGGAGGAAAGTTATTTGGTTTGACTGAAAAATTTTGATGGATTAGCAAAAACAGTATTAGGCATCATGGTAAAATGTTTAAATAGTGGACCAAAAATGTTATTTAAAATAATCCCATTTACAAAATTAGAGGCAACTTTTTTATATGAAAAATTTCATATATTGTTGATGCAATCAAACGGTCAAGTAACTGCAATTGTATCCGACATAACAGGATACGTCAATCTTTTTTTCAAAAAATTTGACATTGATTTTAATAAGCCTTGGATAAATAAAAATGGCTTGTACTTACTTTTTGATTATGTCCACGTTTTTAAAAATAATCGAAATAATTGCCTTATTGAACCATCTGAATTAATAATTTATTCTGAAGGCAATATGGAAAATTATAAAAGGTCTTTTTGAGTATAAAAAAACTCAATTCGTTAAGCTGTCAAAACTGATGTAGCAGTTTGCTCAAAACCTGTTGAACGATATGTTTCCTGTTGTTTAAAAGATTTTTGGTGATCAAGCTGTAGCTGCCATTAAAACACACACATTATTAAATGGGGTGGATACTGCAGAAACAGTTAATTTCATTGAAAACTTAAAATTTTGGAAAATTGTCTGTTTCAAAGAAATATATGGTGATACTAAGAAAAATGATCCACTGAAAAAAGTGATATCAGATTTAGATGATGAATGTCTGTTATTTCTTTCTAATTCTGGGAAAATGAAAAAAAAGAATGGAAGGAAAGCAAGGAAAAAAATGAAATCATTAACAAGAGATAATAGTTTAGTCATTGAACATACATGCGGTGGCTTAATAGATATTTGTCGATATTTACTAAGTAGTAGGTTTAATTTTGTTATGCTTGGTGAATTTACTACAGATTATTTAGAAAAATGAATTTTGAAAATTAAGACAAAGTTGTGGAGGTGCATATTTTATAACAATTCAAAATGTTATTGAAAATTTTCAATATTGCAAAAATTAAAACTACTCCATAAATTAAATGTTGAAGTCAAAGAATAAAACTTTGATTCAGGTCATGATGACCCAGGGCGATAATCACCTGATAAAAACCGGAATTGCAGAACAGGCAAAAAATCGTGATGATAATAGCAAAGATGAGGATAATAGTTAACATGTAAATAGAGAAAATAATTACAACAACTCATCTCAGAAATTCAGACAGAAAATGAGATAACAATATAAGTAACAAACTCAGAGTTACGGTTTTAAAAAGGTGTTCATCGACGGTATCTAGGTGATAGATAGATAGATAGATAGATAGATAGTGAATATATATATATATATATATATAGATAGATAGATAGATAGATAGATAGATAGATGATAGATAGAATAGATAGATAGATAGATAGGAAGAGGTGAATAGATAGATAGATAGAAGAGAGATATAGATAGATAGATAGATAGATAGATAGATAGATAGATAGATAGATAGATAGGAAGAGAGTGAATAGATAGATAGATAGATAGGAAGAGAGTGAATAGATAGATAGATAGATAGATAGATAGATAGATAGATAGATAGATATGACCAGACTGAGATAGATAGGAACAGGGTGAATAGATAAACAGATAGATAGATATGAACAGACTGAGATAGATAGATAGATAGATAGATAGATAGATAGATATGATAGATGAGATAGATATATGAACAGGGTTACATAGGAATAGATAGATAGATAGATAGATAGATAGATAGATAGATAGATAGATAGATATGAACACACTGAGATATGAACATAGATAGATAGGAACAAGGTGAATAGATAAACAGATATATATATGTGAACAGACTGAGATAGACAGATAGATAGATAGATAGATAGATAGATAGATAGATAAGATAGATAGATAGATATGTAACAGACTAAGATAGATAGATAGATAGATAGATGAACAGACTAAGATAGATAGATAGATAGATAGATAGATAGATAGATAGATAGATAGATAGATAGATAGATATTCATTTATTAATGTAAATAAACATCTACCTATGTACATACTCATATGTGCATATTTCTCACTGAATCATAAAAGGATTGAGCCAAATGATTTTCTCATAATAATTATTATCTTTCTCGTTCGCTTCCCATTGCTCGGGGCTTTCGCTCCTTCGGAACTCTTATAATTTTATTCCATTATTTTCATCTTTGATGATTTCCACTCAGCGTCACCAGATGGAGGCATTGATCTTTCTCATACGCAACAATAATTATCGATCCCTTGCTTCTCCTCTTCTCCATTTCCAGTGATACGCTCGACACCCAACAGGTGGCGAGAGTCACAAAGACAAGAGCAAAACTCTACCCACAATGCATAGCGCAAGCAAAATGGCCTCCGGTTGATTACCGATCAAACAATGCAAAGATGATTACGTTTTGAAAAAGAAAAATAGGCCTTGGAGAAGGTCAATATTTATTGTGCAGAAGAAAAGCGGTTCTTTGTGTTGAGAGAATTTCCAATGATTTCAGTGTAACTAGAAGAGTTATTTGAATCAAATCCCTGGCCAGCGATTCGCTGAAGTCTTTCATCTTCTTCACGGAGATAGCTATCAAAACGAAACTCCAATGAAATGGTTCAAAATGAGAGAGAGAGAGAAAGAGAGAGATTCGTTAATAAACGTAAAAAAACAAGGTGGGATGAAACTATGAACTATTGTCAGAAATATAGCAAAAAATAAAAATAATCCAAATTATTCTGCGATTTGCTTGTATGTACAAACGTTGTGACTTTCTACTAATGATCAGAGTGTTGTATCTTTTTTATGTTTATTACTTCTTATCTCTACTAATATCCTCCTTGTATGTATGTGTGGTTCTGATGCTCTTTACCAAGTATCAGATTTACCTGTGACTGTAACCATTCTCTAAACTTTTTAATATATATATATATATATATATATATATATATATATATATATATATATAGGTAACTATACTCGTTTCGAAAAATCTTCGAATTTTTGATTTGCCAATAATCAAATCAATCTCGAAGGAAAAAAAAGTTTTTAAAAAAGAAAGAGCTAGAAACATGAAAGTCTGTCGAAAAAATCGCACAGATACAGATTTAAAGCCCAAAGAAAAAAAAACCGAAACGAGTAAACAACTAACTAACTAAAAGAGCTCAATACAATCGTAGAGCAGACCTAGATAAACCTAGTAAGCCAGACAAACCTACACAGGTTTCACCTAAGCGGATCGTCAGGGAAAGCTTTCCCTGACGATCTATCTATCCATCTATATATATATATATATATATAATTAAACATAAAAAAAAACAAAATTGCCTTATATGGAGTACAGACCTATTTCAACTAATGAAAACTTCGTCAGTCTTATTCAACCCCGGTCTATAGACTGAGTTCTTGTCGTAATTAGAAATTTAACTGTGACCGGTGTTGAAAAAAACTAATACAGAATTTATCCATTTCAATGTTTCAGTCAGACGAAAGGCACAAGAAAGTGGTCAGGGGAGGGTGGAAGGTATCAGCCTTAAAGGGAAGACGTTTCATAAAATTAAACCCGGATATTAATCTTATGACATTAAATTATTAATTTGAAACTGAGAGAGGAACGAAAAGGTTTTTTTTTTTTAAATAGTTAAGGTTATGTTTTAAAATACAAAAATACAAATTCCTACTTAGTAAATAGTCGTCCAAAAACAAGTGGTATATATATATATATATATATATATATATATATATATATATATATATATATATATATAAATTCCCAAGAGGATAGAAACCAGGTAGACAGGACAGAGTAAGAATATTTTCCGCTTTTTTTTTTGAATTTGTAGGTCTGATGAATTGGATCGTGATTCCGATTACAATGTAATAAATTATAACCATGGAATATTAGTGTTTGAGCCTTTTATTATTATATATATATATATATATATATATATATATATATATATATATATATATTATTATTATTATATATATATATTTTTATATTTATTTATATATATATATATTTAATATAATTTGTCTTTTAAGACTATTTTTAAATTGTTTTTAATTTATTTTTTGCATTTT